CTTTTGTAATGCCTGTTTGTCTCCACCAACCTTGTGTAACGATGTTCTCTCAACCAGCTGGAAAGGGGAAGGGTCTACTCGTATCTCATCGATTTCCATCGGTGTGTCCATCTCTGCCTCTTCCCACGCTTTGATCTGCAGCAGCAAATAAGAAGCAAGGTCACATAGGTGGACGGGCTGGCATCAGTCCAGAGTTTCTCTCTTCTATTCCAATGTGTGAGTTCAGCCAGAGGTAAAGATCAGCATTTATTTTTAAGATGGGTCATATACATACAGTATAGCATACATTATTCACTGTTAAATAAATCATTACACTGAGCAGTGTGTGTGAAGGTGTGTCCGTTTGTACAATCTGTGTGTGGAAGCAGGAGGGAGGTGTAGTTAGCTACTACTAAGGAGTTTTTTGCTGCTGTGAAAAACCTTGACACCCTGTGTTGCGTCCTTGCATGTCACTGGTCTCCCCTCTGAGATTTAGGATGTATGACACCTTTTAGCCTCTCTATGGATTTTACCTACAAGCCTCAGCCTGTTGTGACAGGGGCAGCAGTCTTGTAGAATTTACAGGGCGATGTTATGGGGCATTTTGGGAAAGTGCCAGGAAGAGAAAAGAGAGAGAAGCAGACAGAACAGGGCTGGAGGGCACAATATTGTTTTGGTGCTCTTAACAAAAAAAGATGTCTCATTTAAAATTCTGGGTGTGTTCACACTGCAGTTAAAAGGTGCCCCAAATCTGAATCTTCTCCACAAATGCGACACAGATCTCTAACACCTGTGACACACTGTGACATGATTTTTGAATGTTAATACTATCGTTTACCAGCACTGACTTGATGATAAATAAAGATTCGTTTGGGAATGTTCATACCATTCCTTGCTTTAAAACAGGCTTAAAACAGGGGCAAATTTATCATTTTCATTCTGTAAATGTGTTTTTAGATGTTCATACTGTTGGCAGACACAGGCAAGGTTTATTATTTCTGATGTTTTAAAATCAGATTTTCACTCTTTTTTTAAGGGTCAGTTCACCCAAGTTTATGTCTTCTTATATTTAGTCATGCAGAAGGGTTTAGTTTAATATTCCCTGGTTCAGTCTCTGAGATCCACAATATAACAAATGATAAATGGAATTTAGATTATGAAAAAAAACAACAGATCTTGCTGTCAACCAATTTGTACTTACTCATTTTGTGCTAAAAGTTTGGTGACTCAACACAGGCTTGAGTATTTGATCACAATGCTGTAAATAATTAAGCAGACATTTGTGTAAAACCATGCAAATCCATCGCCCCTCTGTCATTACCATACCTCCTCTGGTGTCATTGTGTCTGACATGGGAGGAGGACAGGGCTCCTGGAGACAAAGAAAGGAAGAGACAGATGAGAGATGAGACATGTTTGTGAGTGATTTTATAAAAACATCCTCTGTCACTTCTGTCCCTATGAGCCGGGCTGGATGTCACCTCTAAATCCAGAAAGCATCATCTGAATCTTACATGAGGGGAGCAAAAGGAAATGAACAACCAGTACAAGTACAAGCTGTTTGATATTGCTTTATACATCACAGAACTTCATTTTAGTTGGGTAATCTGATTACTCAATATTTACTATTGGATTCATGTATATCTGCCATCTGTATAAGACACACTACAATGCATAAAATATAGTTTGAATATTACAAGCAAATACAACAAGTGATCATTCTTAATTTTATCAAATTGGATTTCTGTCTTTTTCACAGCAATTGTGACCAATCACAATCACACATTTTTTGTAATCAGGCTGCTGTCATCCAGTTTCTTCTGTTCATCTTTCAGCCTCACAGCACATCCTACAGCTTTGTGAGTAAACTGGATGCAGAAGGTGAAATTCAGGCCAACACCTGCTGTGACCTGTTATGTGAATCTGAATTTATTAGCGATGTCCCTCGTTCATTCACTTGCTTCTGTCCTTGAAGCAACAAAATAAATGTTGACTTGCTAACAGAGTGCAACGAATTTCAGGTTTCTATGTCCATTCGCAGCCAGGAGCTAACTTGGTCAACGAAACACAAATGAATGAAAAGACATATTTACAACTTCACATGATGTTTTTTATCTCATCTGTACCAAGTCAGTGATTGCATTTCTGCATTCCTGTTGTGTATCACTGGAACCACAGCAATTATACTAACGCAAGAAGATGCTGACACTATTACACCAGCCAGATAATATTTTAAAGGTCAGTGCCTGGTTACCTGCCATCAGTGGCTGGTAAAGTGGACAAACCTGATTCACAGCCAGAGTTCAGTCATAGTTTGGCTTGATTGCTGGTGGCAACTTCCTACTGTGAGTCTATTTGATATTTAGGGCTGTAGAATTGTGGCACGCTGCTGTAAAAACAATCCCCATGCAGGAATAGGATTGAATCCAAACACATAATAGAGAATCAGAATGGTAATTCACAAGCCACAGCAGTCGACACAACAGAAATCAAATTCTAATCTTGCAAGCTTACAAGCATATGCTTATTGCCAATGTGGTTTTCATTCCTGCTCGTATAAACAGATGACATGTATTGCTTTCCCTGTGAGCCAGGCTCACCGCCAAGCTGAATAATAACTCTACCTCCAGTATCTGGCTTCCCTATTTCCATATGAGAGAAGGTAGGAGAAAAAAAGAGGCTCGACTTCGGGGAGTTTGTCTGAGGATGAGGAAGCAGTTATGTATTCATGTGCTTCTGTCAATCAGATAAGTGTGTATCTGCCTGAATAGAAAGCAGACCCCATAATGAAAAATTTGCCCTGCAAAAAATAATGGATAAATATTTATAGCCTAGCAGTGCCAGTGTGATGATGTGGTTTTGCCAAATGGATAGGGTTATTTGCATTTCAGTGATTCATGACACAAGGGAAAATGTCTTAGCTTCTGAGTACACTCTAGACATATCTGAACAGTTAGCTGAACAGAGAAAGGGCACAAAGGTTTACAAAGACAGAAAATACACAGACATGTAGAAACACGGGATGTGAGTGAGCAAAATTACCAACATGACATACAGAGTAGAGACAAGTGTGCTTGGGACTGGGCAGACATTAGTCAAAGTGCATTAACACACACACACAAACCTGCGACTGTCCCTCTGTCTGTCTGCTCTTAGAGGTGAAGAGATTCCTGAGTGTTTTCCTCACAGACTGTAGAGGACCTTTTTCTGGGAGAGAGAGGTGAAGAGGGAGATGCAGTTGGTGAAGGTCAATAAATTATACAAACACAGCTTTTGAAAGACTTGCAGCTTCTGGAATAGAGAATAACTGCAAATGAAGGTTTTGAGAGACTGCAACAACCCAAGCTACTCCTTATTGTTGTTGCCTGGATACCATTTCACTGGGAGACTGTATGTTGTTGCATGTGATAGGCTAGTTTACCATGCCACAATTGATATACACACCCCATCTGGTTACTTGCAGCGAACATGCTGCCAAACCCTCCCTCATCACTGTTAGGGTTGCAAAGTTATTAACTCCAATTTTTTTTTACATCTGTTGAGGTCTGAGACAGACAAACTTGTTCAAGTCTATGTGGTAAACAGTGTGAAAGGCAGACAAATTAATTAACTAGAACAATTTAGCCCTTTTATTTTGTGAAATAAATGGTTGGAAGGACATATAGGTGGCATCATGGTAAGACGAAGAGAGGAGAACAAATGTGACACGACAAGAAAATGACATGACTAAAAATGTATGGCATGTGTTTGTGTTTGACCTGCGTGTGTTTGGATTGGCATTAAAGCTGCTATAATGTAACACTGTTCCTCATAATTCGATTAATTCCCAGGGTTTCTCCTTTCATACTTTATAAGCACTAACAAGATGTGTTTGTGTCCTCTGGGCACTAATGTACTTAACACATATGAGAACCCGGTTAGCTTCATAGACCATCTGGGCTCTGACTAAATGCTTAGTCATTTTAGCTGACATATTTTTCTGAGGAGAAGTAGGGGAGACAGAGCAAAGAATAAATCCTGTTACATCACCCTAGTGAGCAAAACTTGTCTGAAAGAATCAATATTACTATGACAAGCCCCATAAGGCTTTCACTACCCGGCTTCAACTCCATGTCACAAAACTCTACAAGTGTAAGTGAGATAAGAAAAAGAAATCAGAAATTGTAATTGTCCTCCAAAGTTTGATTTGTTTCTGCATTAAACTGGATGTTGATCTTGATTTGGGATTCACAAGTGGGTAAAGGCAAGAAACTGGAGCAAGTAAGGCCTATCCTTTGCATCAACTGGAGAAAGTAGTCCATGCTTTTATCACATCCTATAAAGACTATGCTAATTCCATTTATTCCTTTACCAGAGGAAGCTAGTGCAGAGATAATGTATGATTATGACACTGCCACTGACATAAAAAAAACTAAAAATGTACTCAGGAATATGAAATCTTCTCAGCTTACCAGAAACAGAAGCAGTGTGGTTTAATGAAGGCTCCTGAGGCTTTGGAGGAGGCAGGGGGCCGTTCCTCTCCTCCTGCACCGGGCTGCCCTGCAGACGACAACTAGACATAACTACGTAAACCTTATTAATAAAAGCACCTTTTAAAACAAATGATAAAACATGTTGGACAATAAAATCAGGTCTTAAAATAAGTAAAAAGATATTGTGCATCTTAGACTAAACTCAGGACACAAAGGAAGAAAACACTCATGGCTTGAAAAGAAATGTAAAAAAATAGGAGCCCCACCTTCTCTCCGTCCTCCTCTTCCTCATCATCTACGAAGGCAAAGGACTCCCAGCTGTGTTTCTGAGACTGATTCTGCTCCTGTAGGCTCTGACCCTGAATCCAAATCCAGGTAAACAGATCGATACAGACTGAACCAGAAGTGAATTCCAGGTGAATACCAAACTATTCTACTGGGTTTAACACCAGTGTGTCCTTTTTAGTTCTACTGCCTCACTCATTAAAACATGTTACATATTTGATGTTTCTCCTTTGGGCTTCTGAGGTGATATAGAGTTTAATATACGCCTGTTTGACTTCCCTGTGTGGAGTCAATACTAAATAAAGCCTGGTTGCAGCAGCTTTGTCTTATACAATGTTTGCATTTCTACTTTTGGTTATTGCAGTATGCATGTATCCATCCTGTTCATGTCTTATTTCATCTTACAGAAAACATCTGCTTACTCTAAATGATGTGGCCTTTCACCAGGTCAGGATCCACAATCATGAAACTTTTATCAATTATTTATCATTTTGGGGTTTCTTGGATTGGAGTTTCCTTTCATATATTTTTTCCATATCCAAATCAGGTCTAAGGATAGGATAGGATACAGTCCTAGGAAGGATATTTAAATCCCTAATTTCATATCAGATGGCTTGCATGTTTTTGTTTTCGTAGCCATGGAAACTGGCAAAAACAGCTTCCACTAAAAACAAGAGGGACATAATCATCATGTAAATTAAACACAACCTGCTCTGCTATTTAGGTAAAAAGTTATTGCAGTAACAATTACTTTTATATCTGCATACAAAATAACCGACAGGATGTAATCTGCAGTGTACAAGTTTTTATAATATTGTATATATTTTAATAAGTAAAATTAAGAAAACCTGGGAATTTGTGAAGCCTAACTGAGTCGGTTAACAATGGGAAGGACTTTCGTACATGTCATAGAGTCTTTGATTAAGACACTGCACACCAACTAACAAAAGTGTGGTCTCTGACTGTCCTCACCTCCATCAGGAGTCTTCTCTCTGGCGACAACCACCAATCACAGAGAGCCAGAAGCTCCAACCTGTCGACACTGCCCAATAGGATCATAGAATCTGGAAGCAGAAGGAAAAAGTGTTATACTAAAAATAATAAAAAATACTTGAACAACCACAGACTGGGCTGCCATGCTCTTTCACACTGACTTCATTGATACTTTGACAAAAATATTCCTTAACAACATTAAGTAGGTTAAGATTTGGGTCTATGTAGCTTAGTGATTAAATTCATAATTAATGATTTTACCTTTTGAGTCGACTAGTGGGATTGATTTGAGTGAGGAGGAGTCCAGCAGGAGTTTGACTTCTCTGTATGTGGACTGAGAGGATATAAACTTCACCTTTGTGACCATGATGTCTTCTACAAAGATGTTGTACTGGCTGTAGGAGAGACACACAGATGCAGAGGTGAGCTGAAACAACATGTATGGTGCATTTATCTAGGACATCAGACTGAGGTTGTGAAGAACAAAACAATTCTAGAAAGAACCAATCAGCGTTGACCATTTGGCAGCTCTACAGCAGAAGAGGACCTCTTTATTCCCTTACATGGAGACATCTGCCGTGAGAAAATCAGCACAAACCTCATGTGTCCGAAGCCGAGCTCTGGCAGGTACGGCAGCTTCTTGACCTGTATGATGGAGTCGTACAGGGAGGGCTGCAGGCCTTGGGCCACCATGTTGGCCAGGATAACTGCCACCATCATGGGGAGGATGTGGGAGATCTGGCCTGTCAGCTCAAAGCAGATAACCGCTGTGGATACAGTGTGAGTCACAGCCCCGGTCAAAGCTGCCGCTCCTGTCAGAGACATGGGATGGGATGATGAGGGGAAGGAAGGAGGGAGGGAGGTGGGGGTAAATGATGGATAAAGAAAGAGAGAGGGTTGGAGTAACAGGGTGGAAGGATGGGTGTTAAAGAAGAAAGAGGATGACAAAAAACTAAAAATAAACGGTCAGTTTCGAAAAAGGAGTTGAGAGGCAGGATAGAGGGAATAAACGAAATGTTAACGTACAATAGATGGCACAAAGGAGAGAAAGAGGGATAGAAACATTTTAGGCAGGAAGAAAACAAAGGATGGATAGAAGAAAAAGGAGAAAAAGGGAAAATATCATGGGATAGTGTGCAGGTGAAATGAGGGAGGTAGAATCACAAAAGACTGCTAAGGCAGAGCAAACAAAAGGGTCCAGAAACAAAAATAGATTAATAAGAAGGTATGAGAGTGGCGACAGGAAGCAAACAAAGGTAAAAAAATATTGGAGAGAGAAGGATAAAACGGATGACACAAAGGACAGAGGTAGGAAGGAAAGGAGGAAGTAAGGAGGGATCAAAGGAGAAAGGGAGGGATGGGCTTTGTAGGGCAACAGGAGTAGGATTGAAGGACGGCCGCGTTTCTGGGTCAGTGGCTGAGGTGAGGACAGCAGAGGGAGCCCACAGTGACATTTAACTGTCAGAGCAAAGTGGCCACATGCTCTGATGGAAAGGAGGAAGAGGAGGAGGGGGGAGGAAGACAACGAAGGGAAGGAGATGAGGAAGATTGGGTGGGGAGGACAATTTGACAACAAGTGACAACTTGAGGGCCAGAGAGGTTGACAGGAGAGGAGGAGGAGAAGTTGGAGGAGGAAGAAAATGAGAAAAGTGACAGGAGAAAAGGAAGAGGACTTCTTGACCACTGCTGAGAAGGAGGTAGACAGTTAAGGAGGAGAAAGAGGAGCACAGGGAGGAGGCAGAAGGGAGGTGGACAGCTTGACAGTAAGGCTTTGTTGATATGGGTTTTAAAATAGGCAGTGCTGATTGATGATTATTTGTACTTGAGAGGATGTGCCTGGATTACATGATATACTGTTAGGTCGATGGTAACCAGGATGGTATGCTGGTTCTCAAACTTTGCCCCTGCGTGTTACTCTTGCTATGTCAACAACTAGTCATAATTGGAGGCTGAAGGAAGGTGAACAAAAGTTGCAGTTGACAAAATGTGATAAAACTAAAGGAAGAAAGGGAGGAAAGGGAGACTAACCAATGACTGCGTACCCTCCAGGGATGATGCGGTAAAGGATGCCATCAAACACAATCCCATGCGGAAACAAGGTGGCCATGATCTCTCCTACCAGCCTGCCGAATGCAGCTCCTGCAAGAAGAAAGTTACCTTTCAAAGTGCTAAAAAATAAAAGCTGTGAAAACAAGATAGCAGCCTCTGTGTTGTATGAGGTATGTAAGTATGAGGGGAACTTAAAACCAAAATTCAAATTGTTCACACGTACTTGGCCAACAAAGCTCATTCTGATATACCTCGAAAGATTTACGTGAGCAGCCTTTTACTATAATAAAATAAATATCACATTAATTCTGAGACATCTGTATGATTAATGTAGACAAACAAAAATATCACTATTGGTCTGTAAACTGCATTTTTCAGTGTTTATCAGCAGAGCACACAGAACTCATCAGTGTTTCTAGTGACAGCAGATGGTGGAAAGGCTGATGAAAGAAATCACTTCCAACAGGATTATGTCCAAAAACTTCGGGCCAGAGAGGAACGCCTGTAAGAGCAACAATCCTGCTTTTCTTTTTTGATGAAGCTCCTGTAATGATCTAATTTAAAAAGTCTGTAAAATGTTGATGCTTTGTGCCTCTGCTCTGCGTGAAAGGCCAAAACCATAGAGGATCACACACACATATGCATACCCACACGCATACAACATGACACACCGTATCTAGAACTGAGTTTATTCATCTGAAGTTGTTTACGGCTGGTAATGATGAATATTTTAAAGTGAAATACTGGTAAAGGTCACACTCCGAAGTCTTTCACACTACAAAAACAACAGATGAACTGCAAACTACTGCAAATAAACACTGATTCCTTAAATGTTTATCTGAATAATAAGAACCTGATATCTAATGTGAAAGTTAATGGAACAGGAACTTTCAGATACAACGATTGAACAAGGGAAAACAAGATTTCAGTTGCAAATCATAGAACTTTAGTATAATCACAATGACTAAAAATATTCTAAACAATACTCAAATGGGCAAAAATTGGCAAATAAATGTTTTTTCTTACATAAAAAATACATTCATAACACTAATCACATGCTCTCCACTCAAAAAAACGTATTTTAGCCATCCTAATGCAACTGTAACTATAGTATATAAAGGCTACAAGTGTTTTTGCTCACCCAGTATGAAGACAGGCATAAAGGCCCCAGAGGGAATGGGCATGGTGGTGGCCACTGCAGACATCCAGAACTGCAAGACAAGAAACATGCCACACTATTCAGACAGAGGAACTGTGGATGGCTTGACGGACGTGTACAGACCCTCAATCTATCAATATAGAAACCACTTGTGGACACCATCAAAGGGCCAGCAAACTGTGTGTGTGTGGTGGGAGGGGATCCAATCACCCTTGGTTGTCCTTGAGCAAGGCACTTAATCAACAGCTGCTCCAGTGAAGCTGCAGAGTGCGGTAGTAGTTTCTGGGCATTCAGATGGCCGTGTGTCTGTGCAGGACTGAGTGGGTGAAAAAATCAAATGTGCATAACTCCTCTGCAGAGAAAATTAACGCTAAACTCCCCCTTCAAATGTCACTTACACTGTTTGTCTCCAAACAATTTCTGTATTCATCAGAATGTAACTTCAAAATAGCTCGCCTAATAACACACTTTGTTCTTGGCTGCAGAGAGCTCATCAGAGATAATGATTACCTTTAAACAAGCTGTGTGTGCTGTGTTCTCTGTGTGTAGTTTGTGTGCGTGTGTGTGTTGTGTGTGTGTGTGTGCTGTGTCAGTGTGGTGTGTGCTGCTGTGGTGTGTGTGTGTGGCATGTGGCCACAGAGAAAGAGAGTTTCACCAGCATCCCTTCACGGGCACCACACGCTGGGCTTTCTCTTTTTGATTTGAAGGGAATGGTGAAAAACACTACATTACCACTTTAACAGTCCAGATTACTATTCTACACATCATTTGTCATCATCGTTTGAGAACTTAATTACTGTGTTACAAGATAAAAGCTCATTAGCACGTCTCTCACAGGGTGGCTGCTATCCTGATGACAGAGAGGACTGCACTCGCTGACTTCTTCTCTTTTAATCCTGACAGCCCAACACAATCATGCAGAAACACACAACACACTAAAACGGGCAAACACAGGCATTCAGCACACTCTTTTATCAGTGTCACAAATCCTGAGATAGATGAGAGCAGAAACACTGAGTCACGGAGTTAGCTACACTGATATAAAACAATGTGGATATGGAGTAAAAATAAGCAGAAGAAATATGGGTTCCCGTTCATGTGTGATAAAGAGAGACAGAGATGGAAATAAAAACAGGTGAATTATAGCAGAAAAATGTCGGCTGGAGGTTCCTGGTTCTGACTCATCTTTCCTGCCAAAACTATCCAATAAATACACAAGCAGCATGTTGGCTTTTTTGCTAGCACTTAATTTGACATTTTGTTTTTCAGGTGGATAGACAAAGAGAGAACATCTAATCATGTGTAGGACAAAGGGAGATAGGGAAACAGAGGCAGATAGAAGCATGTGGGAGAGAAGAAGATCAAGAGTGTGTGTTTGAGTATGTACTAGAGAAAGGCTAGCAGCAGTGTGTGTTGTGAGAGGAGTTCTACCAGCCAGCTGCTCTCCGTTTTGGTTGAATTAGGTTTTCACTACAGGGAGCCACTCTGCATTTGACTTTAAACTACAGAAAAAAACAGACAGAGGTTAAGTCTGAAAACACAAATAGATTTTGAGTAGTCAAAAGAGGAAAATGATATATGACAAACTATGGAGGACAATTTTAATGATCTTAGACATCTGCATTGTAAAACCATTCATATGGTCAAAATTAGAGTTGACTGACAGCGGTTTTTGGTGCTGGGAAGATGTAAGCTAACAGTTCAATCCTGACCTCTTAAACGGTTAGGTGGAAAGAAACTCACAGCGTCACAACGCTGGCCAATACAACATGGCTGTTGGTCAGATATAAATACTGGTATGAACAGAACTTTGTGTCATGTGACTTCCATATAGACTGAAAAGTTTGGTTTTGTAGTCACTGAGGAAGTAATCTGCTTTTCAGTTTCTCTCTGTTCTCCGGCAGAGCTCTTGAGAAGCCGCAGATCTTCACCAAACAGAAGGCAGCAACAGCTTGGTCCTGTTTTCTGCAACAGCCAACAGACTGTAGGCGGGTCGGGACTCAGAGTATTTAGAGACCAGACTTTGTCTGTCTGTGTTTTTCATACATGAAACACTTGAACTCAGAAGCTAGTCTGGTCACACCATTTATAAATGAAGAAAAATACTGGGGGTGGACAGATTGATAGAAATGCAAAAAAAAAAAGGAAAAAGATATGAATATAATGAGGTTAAAGATGAGGAGGGCTGCCCTTTGACTTCAAAACATGATTTTTGGAAACATGTTTGTGTCTTGGTTACAATTCAAGTTAAACTGAGGGCTTTAGTTTGGTGGTTACACCGTTATTCCCAAGTGGGTCAGTATTATACAAACTAGAACAACCTACAGTACAGTACCCAGTACAACTTAAATATGTATAGAATAAGGACTGGGATTACCCATTGGTTTTGGAACAACCACAGTCTTCGTTATATACTGCATAGTAAACTGCTGCATGGTCTGCTCCATTGACCTTCAGTAGTATGTTTTATAAAGTTGCCCAAACTCCCATTTTGGATTTTTTACCCACGATTCTGTTTTCACATCAAACCACAGAGGCTGGATCAAAACCAATGTGGTACTCAATGACACTGGCACCATAAAGCAACAGTGAACATACTGTGTGTATCTCTCTAGCTGTCATTACCAACAGACAATCATTTGCCCCACAAATAACAGTAATTCATCTAATACCTTGATCTTGCAGAAATTGTGTGAATGTGTATTTCTGTCATTGCCTCCACACACAAGTGCCTGTGCTTGGTACATGTGCTTCAAAGCCGTTGCTGATAAAAGGCACTATAGTTTTGGTTTAAAAAAAAAATGTATCACATTTATTTTTGACTTGCCTGATCAAACAACTGCATGAAGCATTCCACTTGCCAGAACACAGAGCTTAGTTGCCCCGGGCAAGCAGGCAAGCATTAATGTCGAGTCCTGTCGTAAGTCATAACTACCCCAGGAGAAAAAAAAATTTTTAAGCAGGTGAAGACCAGGATAAATTATATTTATTGCTGCTTATTTTTGCTACTCATTAACTGATGGTGAATCATGCTGCTGCCAGTGTTGGTACTCTCTCTATCTGATAGATAGATAAATACTTTATTTATCCCGAGGGAA